TGACATGGCATTTCATTGTCACAGCTTCAGCAAATATCACAAGGTGGACTGGGCTGTCCGTTTTCTGATCCCCCGCGAAAAGTGACTAACTTTAGTGGGCTAAATAGAAATCCCAAACACTAAAAGGCTAAAAGGCTAAGGGGATGGCTGGGAGCCACCAAGAGGATGCATGCCAAATTGATTGAGGCGAACCGTGATGTGTTCTCTCTCACGCGCTCCAGAACGTGCTCTCAGTGCCGTGATACGTTGGCTTAGATTACTCCAGAACGTACTCTCGTGTCCTGGGTATGAGAATCTAAACCCGACTGACATGCCATTTCCTTGTCATAGCTTCGACAAATAAATATGGCTGTGAGTCAAAAATAGGTACCTGACATGGAACCCTGGTCACTGGAAACATGGACTGAAACCTGCGGTCCCCTAGCAGTTTGATTTTGACCCATACCCATATCTCAAGGTGGCCACTGACTACTGGCCTGGCTCAGGAACGGAAATGTGGTCAGCACCAAGGCCATGTTGATGGCCTCGGCAGGCGGAGGTCCATGAAATCTTCGCAAACGTCTCCCCGCTTCAAACGCATGCGGCGAAACAGGGCGTTGATGCCCTTGCTTTGGGTCTTTCCTAAGTGGCCGTGGATCGGTTTGCTAGCACAACATGCACAGCCAGAGTCAAAAAATAACAACTATATATTATATAACTTGATCGCTGTTGGTGTGAAATGCTTCCACTAAGCAATGCTTTGACTGGGTCTCGAGCCGCTATGATGAGTGTCGCCCGGCCGTTTAGCGGATGCGCCAGGTGCCGGATTTTTCCGACCTGGCGCTGCTTTGGCCGAGCCCATTGTGCTGCCAAAAGGTGGGACAGCGGGCGAGCTGCTTGCCGAAATAGGGTGGATGGACAACATCCTGCACCAGCTGGATGAAACTCCATGAACACTGGGACAAGCCACCTACGTGTGCCCACTGCTCCAGCCTTGCATATGGAAATGCGAAGCCAGTCCCATGAAAGCGCTTGGTATGTGTCTCAATGCCGCTCCAACTCTCAGAAAAATTGACATATTCACAACCGAGTTGGTTTTCACCAGTGGAACGGTTTGAAACTACATCTCAAACAATCAGGTCGCCAAATGATGTGCTCTAAGCCTAGAAACACGGCGGACCGCATTTTAACTTTGGCAACGCAGTGTCAAAATGGTGCTTCATAAACCATCTCCGCTTGTTTATGCGTACACGACGGGCACCGAGCGCACGCTTTGCATACACCGCTCAGCACACAATCACAGTGAGCCCATCTGCACATAATACGCACACCCATTTGTAAGCCGTCAGATTCCTGCAGGCCGCCGATTCTGTGGTGTGCATTGACAGGGTAAAGTGCTACACGAAGCTGTCCCAAGTTTTGAATTGACAGCATGCTGTGAATCTCAGAGGTGAATCTGCTTGCACAGTGTGCCTCCCGGCGAAACATCTAGGTGCACACTGGCAACAACTTTCCACGGACACTGTCCAAGAAAATGCTGCTTTCAGCGGTCAATAATCCTCAAGGCCACCACCAAACTACCGGACCGCGCCTGCAGGCCCAAGAATTTTTGCCAGCCCTGGACAGCCTGCACGGAAAAGGGGCTCTTGCAACACTGAGGTGCACAGTTTACCCCGTGGAAACCCGTGGCATTGGCCCATCGTGCCTGTGGTCCTGACCCCAGGAAACCGGCGACCTGTCCACACACACAAAATATAAAGAAGCAAGCCGAACTCCAGGCAGAAGCTGTCGGAATTTGCAACGAATCTTGACTGTTGACAAGGGCCGGAATATCACAACAAACAGCACAAAATGCAACACCTGCATGCAAGGAACCTGCTCCATCGCTTCCCCAAACATCGCATCCAACACCATCATGTGATGCTTTGACATTCCAACTACAACCTTACAGAAACCCGTTTCCAGTGTTGGAAACAACAGTTCTCCACCTCATTGGGAAAAGTAATGCAAGGTGGTCAAGTAGCGCACAAACTTCCACGTAAATTCATGCCGCACAAATGGGCGGACGAATGCTTGGCCATGCCACCAAGGATTGGCCCTCTGCGCGTGACCAGACGGTGCCTGAAGCAGCATAAGGGCCAGGACCACATAGCCCAGCAAAGCATGAGCTGTCCTTGAGCGATGTTTGACACAAAACGTCTACAAGCTGAGGCTGTGGGCTACATGGAATGTCAAGTTGCCCAGTTCACCATGCTACAAACTGTGAGGTGTTGAGCATTGCAAACGACGACAAGTTGTTCATGGCGGAGCAAAGATATAACATGAAACTGCAGCCCCGATTCGCAGGTCAATGGGTACTGCAGGATATTGTGCTTGCAACACAGAGCATATGTATCTGTACATACACAATAACAATGCCGGTCAACGCGACAAAATTCAACAAAACCAATGAAGCAAATCCTGTCGATGCGCGTGCTTCCTTGATGCCCACCCAATCTCAGAAGCGCAGAGTCACCAACCCTTGGGTGTGGGTCGAAATTAAACAGCTGGGGCAAACCACAGGTTTTGGTCTACCTCAACCCACTTTGAACCCCCAGTGGTGAGCCCACAGCATGCCAGGTTTCTACAGGCCTAGTCTCAAAGGCTTCGGGTCGCCAAGGCTCTTCGCTGGCGGGTTTCCAGGGTCGAAGCCAAACTGAGAGCCGCCTGCCGAGCAAAAGTTGGGCCCAATGTGGAAGATCTCTAGCCGCGGTTCGGGCCTATCTTTGGCAAGCTGAACAGGCCTGAAATCTGGAAGATCTCCACTGGTATCCTTGATGGCTTCAAACAGTCGTCTAGCTCCCTCCGGGCCAGTTCATCCTGACACTGCAGGGAACCCTTGCTCTTGGGGGTGTTGGCACTTGATAATAGCAACGTGGCAGCAAAGTAACATGAACGCGGACGAGTGCAGGCTTGTTAGACATGCCACAAATTCCTGCTGTGCCTAACAAAGTCTCAAAGGGGCACCTTGGAGGCACCATAAAGATCCAGGCAAGGTCGATGGGATCAAGCAAACACACGGCAGCCCTCAATATGCACTATACAATATGCACAATACAAACCAAGCGCAGCAGGCACGTGAGTTCGCAGCTCTATGTGGCAAATCGAGCCTACGAGGCGGTGGTTGCTGAAGATGCACAAATAGCCAACCTCAGGCGCGTCAGCAAGCCATGCTTTGAACGAGCCCCTCTCAAAGGCGAAGGACGGGATTGATCCTCATGCATTCGACCTTGTGGTTGGTTGGAAGCTGAAATTCTTTGTCACTGGCTCCGGCATGCAAAGCCTTGCAAGAGCGCAGTCGCATGGCGTTCAATCTCAACCAACAGCACCCGATCATGTGCTTCTTCAAGTGTGAGGCTGGCAGTAAATCGTCAAGATTCGCACAATTGCATGACATTTCGGTTTTCAGCATGTCGCCATTTCTTCATCGTCCCTTGTTTCCGGCGGGAGCGCCTTTGCACGCCTCGAAGAATTCACCTCTTAGTGTGAGATTTTGCTCTTATATTGCAGAAACAGCGGCACGCCTGCAACACTGGTGGCCCGTTCAAAGCTATGACTTCAGCCAGGACATAACAGTCTGCCAGCTAAACGGCAGCCACACATGCAAGAAGGCAAACGTCAACCGGCTTTGGCATCGTGACCGAGAAAAGGATTCACTGCCAGGACGGGAATCTTCGCTCGTCGCAGGAACGAAACCTCATGCCCGCACTCCCCCCACCAGCCACCAGAATGGGCCAACAAAAAGTGCACACCAGTGGTCCGGATCTATCCTTGGTTGACGTTAGAAGGGGAGCAAACATTCAATTTTTAGCAGTTAAGTGGGGATTTCAACCACTAAACCACAATAAGCAAACATGTAGAATGTTTCCCAACAACAACCATGTATCCAGAGCACGCTTGTCCTTTGAGGAGCTTTGCCAGTGTATTGCCCCTGGATTTTTCTGAAAGCTTTGGGGTCTCAGCCCAGATAGGCTCCGGGGTGGTCCGGGGCGGCCCTGAGGTAAGGTTCCACGAGGGTTCCACCAAGGTTCCACCAGGGTTCCACTAGGGTTCCATGAGGTTCTGCGAGGGCTGCGGGGTGGTGCGAGCACTAAAACGAGCACCGCATGCTGTTGGGGATATCACCCGAGTTTATCTTTTCACAGCCAGCTGGAGCTCGACAGATTCCTCTACCAATGGCATGACGCGAATTGATCTAGTTGGAAGCAACAGCATGTCACAAAAGCCCACCCCGCAGGCTTGAGAGGCCTCCTGGAACCCTTGAGCCTGTCATTGCTTCCAACTTGCACCTGCAACATCCCAAAACGAGGGGGTCGTGCCCAAAATCCCATGCCCATCCGGGGAGTATGTTTTGTTGCTGTGTGTGTGTGTGTGTGGTGTGTGGTGTGTGGTGTGTGGTGTGTGGTGTGTGGTGTGTGGTGTGTGGTGTGTGGTGTGTGGTGTGTGGTGTGTGGTGTGTGGTGTGTGGTGTGTGGTGTGTGGTGTGTGGTGTGTGGTGTGTGGTGTGTGGTGTGTGGTGTGTGGTGTGTGGTGTGTGGTGTGTGGTGTGTGGTGTGGTGTGTGTGTGTGTGTGGTGTGTGGTGTGTGGTGTGTGGTGTGTGGTGTGTGGTGTGTGGTGTGTGGTGTGTGGTGTGTGGTGTGTGGTGTGTGGTGTGTGGTGTGTGGTGTGTGGTGTGTGGTGTGTGGTGTGTGGTGTGTGGTGTGTGGTGTGTGGTGTGTGGTGTGTGGTGTGTGGTGTGTGGTGTGTGGTGTGTGGTGTGTGGTGTGTGGTGTGTGGTGTGTGGTGTGTGGTGTGTGGTGTGTGGTGTGTGGTGTGTGGTGTGTGGTGTGTGGTGTGTGTGTGTGTGTGTGGGTGCGTGCGTGCGTGCGTGCGTGCGTGCGTGCGTGCGTGCGTGCGTGGGTGGGTGGGTGGGTGGGTGGGTGGGTGGGTGGGTGTGTGTGTGTGGGGGTGCGTGCGTGCGTGCGTGCGTGCGTGCGTGCGTGTATTTTTTAGAAGGCTCGTCAAGCCCAATTGGTCCAAACTCATCTGGAGGGAGAGTTTGGCCGAGCAACCAGAGCCGCCAGGACAGCCGTGCTCTGGATGGCAGCGTGCGCTTTGCGAGCAGTATCTTTGTTCCTCGGCATGCCAACCAATTGCATTGTTGGGTGTGGGTCAAGAATGGGTTCCCAAACTGGAAACATAGGCTAAAACCTGCGGTCCCCTGGTGGTTTAACTTTGACCCATGCCCAGCACGCCAGGAATGTGCCTGCCATTCACAAAAGCGTTCAAACATCGCATGCTTCATCTGCGATTAGCTCTTGCCACACATATGGGGGTGTCTCTTTTAGACCCCCCCCAAAAAAAAAAGAAGAAAAAGGATGGCATTTCCTTTGGTTTCTCTTTAACACCATCTTAGCTTTCCTTCAGTTTCCCACCAAAAGGATTGTATTCGGGTGTAGCTCAGAATTTAAGAGCCGGGGCGCACCGCAGGTTTGGGTCTTGGAAGCCCATTTCCCTACAGGCCATGCCGGGGGCTTCGGCGTGTCTTGAGCCACAGCCAGTCTTTTCTAAGACCACCAAAACGCGCGGGGGGCGGGGTTTTGGGGGGTCCCCCCGAGCCAAAGTTGGAGCTAAGGACCTGGCTTCCCCGTCGCTGGCCAGAAGCCCGCCATGGAGTAGACCACCTGCGGGGCGGCGCGCCGCCTCCTTTTTTTGCGGCGCTCGGTGCCCGCTTTTGGGCGGCTTTAAAGGGACACCAACGGGAAACCCCCCCACATTTTGGGGGTGTTCCCTAAAAGAAACGTGGGACACCACCACTTTTTTTTGGGGGGGGGGGAGGTCCCCTAAAAAACAAGTCACGCCCATATCTGCATCAACTTAAATGTCACCTCCTGCCCAACGCCTGAGTCCGAATCAAAACCCGGTACTAAAATGGTCTACCCCGAACCATGTCAAGAATTCAGAAGGCGGCCGCGGCTATTTAGGGTTGGGATTGTCCAATACTAACCTTCATCTACCCGGGTTTTGATTGTGGCTCACCTGGCAGCGGGTAAATACTAACAAGCTTGGCGTTTGGCCAAGCCAATTCCTGCACTGAAGCATCACAGAATCAATTCGTGCGGCTGCCACTGCGGATGTATCCCTGCAGTCATGCGAAACGTGTTTAGCCTTGTGTGTTCTTCGGCATGATATAAGGCCTCTACAGCCATTGTCTCACTGGCTGAAGGGGTTGAAATGCTGTTTCAGTGGGCTTGCTGCTTGCCATGATGACGCAGATTAATCATTTCTGTTTTTTACTCTTCATTTTGGCTGGCCTACTGTAAGTGTTGGAAGTTTACACGCGTCCAATGTTGCCATCTTGCCAATGGGGGCATGTTGGGCGACATCTATTTCAAAGCCATTGCAATACGGCTGCAATGCTGCCATATGGCCATGGGTCAAAATCCCGTACCCCCAGTGAACATCCCAATTCCCACTGAAATAGACTAGAATGGGTGGTGCATTCACCTACCCAAAATGGGATCCCATTGGTTTTGACAACCACAGCCATATCAGCTTCTACACTGGAGATGGTATAAATGCAAGCTTTGGATTCGCAACTTCTTGCGCCAAGGTACCGATCCGGCAGTCATCAAACACCAGCAGGCACACATCGCCGCGATGTGGCCAAGGAAGAGCGCAGGCATCGCCGTGAACCTTGCAGGCCGATTCCCGGCGTTAGGTTTAAACGCGGGGTCCAAGCATAGGTGGCCTTTTAGAAAAATAGATGGCCCTGGTAAATGGAAAAACAACCACCTAAACCAGGTCCATCTATTTTTAGTCAAACTAACCTAAAAAGGACACCTATGGGTCCAAGTTCAGGAAATGTGTGCAGTTATGTTGTGAGTCCAAATTGTGCCAAGGGCCTCTGAATTGGCTCATGACCATGAGCCAGGGAAATCCTCTCGTTCAATCTCAGGCATGCATCCCCTGACGCCTGAAGCACATCTGGCAGCAAAGCTGCACATGCTCACTCCGAAAGAGATGTAAACTCTCCGCCACAAACTCACACAAGCACATGCTGAGTATGGAGTGCAACCTCTACACGGATCCAGACGAGACGACACGCTTGGGTAGCAACATGGTTCAAATGTTGTGCTGTGCATGTCTTGAGGTCGTATCCCCCTTCTGCTCATCTGACTCTTCCACCCTCTGCAGAAAATGCAGAGTTACTTATACTCAGTCAAAGCAATAAACTCGCTGGCGCTCTCACTTGTGGTTTCCTTTGAGGGGACCAAAGCCTGGGTTCATTTCCACATTCCCTACTGAGCACCAGCAAGACAAGCTGAGCCGGTCATATGGCCACGGGTCAAAATCCCGTACCCCCAGTGAACATCCCAATCCAACCACTGGGATAGGAAGCCTAAAATGGGTGGTGCATTCACCTACCCCACAATGGGATACCATTGGTTTTGAGCCACAGCCATATGGAAGCTGGCCCTTTCTCATCTGGAGGCGTCAGCCACGTGGCTGGGCTGCACAGCCCGCAGCAATGGCAACCGCTGCCACCGCCAGCCCCATCGAGGCGAGTGCGGGCCCCCGGCCCATGGCGCCAGCGTCAGCGCGACCCGTCATCCCGAGCACATGCCAGTGGCTTAACCGGAATTCCAGAATGGGTTGTGGTGAATGGAACCAGAGACCGCAGGAATTTTAGTCTATGTTTCCTGATAAACCAGGGCTCCTTTTCGGGTACCTATTTTTGACCCACAGCGAAAACCGGAATTCCAAAATGGGTTGCCCTGGTAAGTGGAAACAAAGCCCAAAACCCGCGGTTTGCCCCTCGGATCGTTTAATTTTGATCCACACCCACATCGGAGCAACCAAAGAAGTGGCACGTTGCGGCAAAGGAGCCACCACAGCTGAACAAAAAGCTCACGAATGCAAGTGACACGAAAGCAAACAAAATGAGGCTTTTGGATGTTGGGGACTTCTGAGCAAGCTGTCTTTCAGGATGCAAGACGTCCTCATCATGCTGTCCACCACTCTGGCCAGCTTGATCATTGTACAGCAAACTTTGCATGCATCTTCAAATCAAAACCAAGATAACCCAAACTGGACACTCACGTGTGCGCAAAAAGGTCCGGCTATCTATTCCTTCCTCTGCGTAGAGAGATGGATGCAGGCTGACAATACTACTGGTCCAGAACAAAATCCGAAACACCTGTTGACGCACCACCCATGCAGGGCCTCTTGCACTTGCCATGCGTTGCTGAGCGCTGTTTTCCTTCACCTTCGGGAGAGAAGTATCCTTGCGCCACATTGGGCCTGCATCGGACTTTCGACTTTCGCCGTATTCCAATTGATGCTTGTCGCGGTGCCTGAAAAAGGTGCCGAACAGAACGCAGCTTCTCGATTTCGCTTAAACCTTGGCCTTGCAATTGACGGTGGGTCTCAATGATGGAATTTCGGCCTCCGAGTGGCGCTAGCCTGGCACTGACAATACGTTGGGGTGTTGAAGGTTACCTCTGCTGCTTGACTGGCCCCGCGTGTTCTGTCAGGCATCATAGCCCTCGCCCTTGATGAAGAGAACAAACTCCTGCCAGATGAGTCTTGGAAGACTCTTGACTGGGGGAACTGTCGATTCGTGCACTCAAAACAATTAGGTGGATTTGAGTTCAATTCTAGCGGTACCTTCCCCATTCTTTCCAGGGATCCTTCTTTCTAGAACACCTCCTGAAACCCAGGGAAAACGGATCCGGTTTTTGGAAAGAACGACGGGTGAAAAGAATGGAAAAGGAATCAACCCCTAGACCAATTCGTGAAATGGAATGAGGTGGATCAATCCAACATTCGTGAGGCTCAAATCTTCCGGCACAACGGCCTGGACTTTCATCCTCCTAGACCTACCCTGTACGACCCGGGAAACTCCTGCAAGCAGGGTTCCACTATGTTCCACTTTTTGACTACGTCAGGGTAGACTTAAACCCAGGGGTCCAATTCCCTCAAAAGGGGAACCCCTGCATTTAAGTCTATCTTGAAATACCTCAAAAAGCGGAGCCCTGCCTGCAAGCGCTTCCTAGGTCTGCACCACCCGCGTTTTGAATCTGATCAACCAAACAGGATCGACCATGTCTCACTGACGATTGAAGCATGATGCGATCTGCCTCCACCCGCAAAGCATTGCTACAGATTGCGGCATTCATTGGCGGTATTGCCAGCGCTGTCACTTGAATGTACAGCATGTTTATCAATCGGATTGAGGGGCTAGATTTTCGGAGGATGCCGTTTCTTGCAACCAGATCCCAAATTTCAGAAGTTGAGCCTTTGCCACATTCTCCATTCCGAAAGCCGGAAGCCGGAAGCCCGAAGCCCGGCGACTGCTCGATTCCAAAAGCAAGAAGAATTCGCGGGCGCGCGGTTTTTGTTTTCCTCGCGCTAGCCATGCGGCTGGCTTGCAGATGGACCATGTGGATATCTTGGTTCTCGTTGATGTTAGTACTACAAGAAAGAGTATTAAGATGACATAACATCTAACTAAACTATGTTGTGGCAAAGTTGGCATTACCAATTGGATGCTTAACCTGGGCAATCGGATGTGAACTCACTGTTCCGAAGTAGACTCCGTACAAGTGGTTTGATGGTCATGGAATGTTGGACGATTCGCAGCAAGCCAAACTGGTGTGAGATTTCAAGCATTTTCAAAAACAGCCTCATGGCAATACAACAGCCCACCCGAACTTAACCAACTCTGAGTCGAACACGCATATCCTACACCACCTCTACACTCTCCTGCTCGAAATCCACTCTAAACCAACCCTAAAACATCTGACCCATCCCTCAAACAACCTAGAACCCATCTTCAACCAACACAACTCCCTCACGACTCCCTCACGTGTGTCTGGCGAAGGGGAATCAAGGCTCGGCCATCCAAGACGTGACTCACATTTGACATGTGGCCGTTGTCACAACCGTTTTGGGATCCCATTTTGGTTGGTAGGTGAATTCACCACCCTTTTTGGGCTTTCTATTTTAGTGATTGGATTGAATCGGATGTTCACTGGGGGCTAACCGATTTGGATTTTGACCCACCATGGTTTCCGGACACAGCCTAGCCTTTAGGTCTGGCAGGGGAGTGCCTCGACTCCAGGTCTGTGGCTGCTGATGCAGCTTGGTTCGGGTTTTGTCGGTTTGTCGGGGATGCAAAAGGTGTTGAGCCAGCCAGCGCTGGGCGGGAAACTCCCCATCTCGCATTCCGAGAGGCAACCGCTGACCGAGAGAGAAGGAAGCAAGCTTCCTCATCCCAATGAACGGTCTGTGGCTAGTTACTTAATTAAGCCTAATCTCTCCAAGTAACATGGATGTCTGAAGGTGAGGGGTGTGGCACCCTATCTTGAAAGGCCTGTCAGCGTCTGCGGGCTCCTCAATGTCAACTGCGCCCGAGAAGTCTGTGTCCACGATCGCACACAACGAATGGATCTGGTAATCCGGCACGACGCTGGGCGGAATCCTGAGCACATGCACATGTGGCATAGCTGTGGATGGACGCGAAATCCATTTCGCACCACCGTTCAGCAACGCTGGAGTGATGATTCCCTTGTAAATACCAACAACAATGGTTTCAAAGCGCTGCGAAATGGATTTTGTCCATCCACAGTAGCACATGCCTTCTCAATCGCAAGTGTGAATCCCTGGTTTCTGATTCGTTTCCCTTGTAAATACCAACAAACAATAGTTTCAACCATGGTTTCAAAGCGTTGCGAAATGGATTTTGTCCATCCACAGTAGCACATGCCTTCTCAATCGCAAGTGTGAATCCCTGGTTTCTGATTCGTTTCCCTTGTAAATACCAACAAACAATGGTTTCAACCATGGTTTCAAAGCGCTGCGAAATGGATTTTGTCCATCCACAGTAGCACCTTCTCAGTCGCAAGTGTGAATCCCTGGTTTCTGATTCGTTTCCCTTGTAAATTTCAGCACATAATGGTTTCAACCATGGTTTCAAAGCGCCGCGAAATGGATTTTGTCCATCCAGAGTAGCACATGCCTTCTCAGTCTCAAGTGTGAGATCATTCCGTTGCATCCCCAGCCATTCGATATTCTTCAGCACTAGTCGCCGCACAAGAAGCGGCAACATTGGCTTCATCGATGCTGCCTTCCCTGCAGGAATCAATATATATATATATATATAGTTACCTCCCCTCCCCAAAATGTCAACCTTTGTTTTTCTGTCATATATATATATTTCGATATACATATATATATACACATATACCTAAGTATATAGTAATATACATATATATATATATATTATATTATATTATATTACATGATATTATATGCTATACATTTCGTTCCAGCCTGCCATCTGACACCGGTAACTGAGGCTCTGTCTTGAGGACTCGCCGCAGCGCTGCTTTGACCTCCTCAATATCCAACTCGCCGCTGCGATCCTGCGATCGAAAACGCGGAACATGTCTTGGCACCCAGTCCCCTTCGTGGTTTTTGGTTGGAGACTTACAGCAACTGCGGCCGGTAGAAACCACCCATTGGGGGGAGGGCTATTTTAGAGGGGATTGAGATGTTCACTGGGGGTACGGGATTTTGACCCATGGCCACATCTGAGAAGGGGATGACAAAGTACAATAGCCTTCCCTCTCCACCAAGAAGGAAGCACACATCTTCAAAGGGTAAGTCAAGGTCCTGTTTTAGCGTGAGTGATGATACTATGTTGGTCTTTTTCACCTATCTGTGGCGGCGTCATTATGTAGAGCGGGGTGAAACACTGCAGGTTCAGGCATCACCGCGGTTTGGGCACTGCCCACTTGAAACTTGATGCCGCCATCCTCATCTCTCAGGCCTTGCCCTTCTTCGGCGCGTGAGGGTGGCTCTTTGTCCACCTTTGCCAGGCCGAGGCCTCCATTTCATCGGCTCCCCAGGTGGCTGGGTTGCCTGCCCCATCCAGCTCGAAGCCATACTTTGCGTAACATCTCACAGCCCGGCTGTTCGCTTCCAGCACGGAGAGCCCGGTGGTGGCGCACTTCCAGCCTAGCTTGTGACTGTAGTCCTCAGCGGCGCGGATGAGCATACCACCTAGACCTTTGCCCTGATGAGCGGAGTCCACCTTGAGGTGAGAAATGCTCAGCTTCTGCTCGTCCTTCTGATCCATGCAATGCACGTATCCAGAAATCTCGTTGGTTGCAAGGTGCACCAGCGAGAGCGTGAAGTGCGTGGGGTTCTGCCCCGACAGCACAGCCTTGATGGCATTGATGGGGTCATGAGGAGGCTTTACGGTGTCATCAATCACACCCACGTTCCTGCACCAACAATCGTGGGCCACATCTGCAAACCACTTCTCCTTGACAAGCAGCTCCGCGTGGTCCACTACGAAGTGCTTCTCCGACACGCGGAGCCGGGCTGCACAGGCCACGGGCGTCTTCACCACGGCGTAGCCCCCGCCACTGCGGATGAAGTCCTCGGGCTTGGCTTCTATCTTCTGGCCCTGCACGACCTCGCCGGCCGGCCACTCGTCAGCCCACTCTCGCAAGGCCTCCAAGCTTGGAGGGTTAGACAATAAAAGGTTTGTGTGGAGGGTTCTCAGGGTTTGAGGGTTTTAAACAAGGAAGGATCAAACAAGAACAAGTTTGGAGGCTGAAAACACGGTAGCCGACCGCCTCCAAGGGCATGGCTGCCACTCTGCGCCTCTTCAAAGGGGGCGCGAGAGGCACAGCAGAAACTGCGGCCGCAGGCGGAGGGGGAGAGGAAATCTCCTGGGCCTTGCGCTTGCGGGCGGTCACCTCTGCCTGCAGTTTGGGGCCGATCTCCTTGGCTGCGACCTGGACGATGTTCCGGCCCCAGCGGTTCACCACGTCCAAGCGTGAATGTTTGTCCATCAAGGTCAAAGCGGTGTCAAGGTGAGCGCGGGTGGCGGCATAAAACAACGCTGTCTCGCTGTTGCGATCAAGGTGGTTCACATCTATGCCTTGCTGCACCAAGTAAGCGCAGGTCTTGGTGTGGCCCTGCCGCGCCGCGTAGTACAGCGCCGTCTGTTGATACTCGTCCACCCAGTGCAGTGTGACACCGAATCCCACTAAGAGCTTGCACAGGGCCAAAGCCTCGGCATCCTGCCCTTGCGCGCGAGCGCAGGCAAAGAAGAGCGGTGTCTGCATGGTGGGCTTATAGCATGAGGTCAGATGGGCCATGGGCGCATCTTTCACAATCTTCAGGGCTATGGCGACCGGCTTGTCCCGGATGATGAAAAAGAACTCATTCTTCAACTTCTTCAGTGGTGCCATGGCACCCCCAACACAAAAAACCAACAGCGACACACACTAGAAGCCGGTGTGCAGCCTGCGAGCCACTTTGGCTGCAGTCGAGCTGTAAGGATCTCCCTCTCAACCGCCGCTTAAGGCAACGGGTTAGCACAAGGCTGCTGAAGCACCTTGCGCTTTGTTGCGGGACCTGCTTTGCAGCTTCGAGGGGCCGCTGTCCGGCTGTTTAAAGGAGCTGACGTTTACACATCAAACGTTGTGAATGTAAAAAACACGTCCACATCCAGCAACCTGCAAGTGGCCCAAGAATGTTGCATGCTAACGGCTAGGAATCCGAGGCTGCCGTTCAGTGCGAAACACTTTGCTGAAGCACAACCAGTGTCGCCTGATGCGCGTTTCCCATACTGCTCAATCACTTTGGTCAACTCTATCATGAAGTCAACTAGCGCGGGCTTGCAAATGCGGCTCCTTGTCCAACCGCCGGAACAAGAGAGCCAAATCAACTCCACCAAATCCAGCATACCTCAGCACTCAGTGATCTATTCATCAAATGAGATCAAGCGTCAAGCGGATGCAATGTCAGAAACAGTGTGTAAATAACATCCTGCAACATTCTGGCATTCAACATTCTGGCGCAGTCGACATGGAAAGGTGAGGCTTGAGGCTTGATGCTCAAACTGCTGTCCTCTTGCAGTCGTGTTCTCTCACCTCCCTGAGTTGCGACCCAAGCTGCGCAGCACGTAAAATGCAGTTCTTGATTTTCTTCACCGTCTGGGCAGGTTGCGCAGAACTTTCACAAAACTTTCTGCACTTTGTTAGAGTCTGACATCTGTCAACCACAATTGCCCTCTGCTTTGAACACATAGCGACAGCTGCACGTTCTTGTCGCCAGTCTGCAAATCATCCTAATCAGTCCCAATCCATCTGGTTCGACGGCAAGCGCCAAGCTGGAAGCTCGCGCTGTAGGAAAATTCATCCCATTTCTATGCCTGCCTTTGCATCCAGGGGCGGAGGGGTTGGCAGCCCGCGCTTTCTGCGCTCCTGCCCACAAGTCGAATGTGTGTCTCCGACAATGCTGCTCCTTTCAACCTCTTCCTAATGAACATGCTTGGAAGCCGTTGACGGTGTCAGTACACCTGCAACCAAAAACCGTTCAGGTTCTGCTGTTCAAATTTGTCATCACATCCTAGACAACACTCTAGACTGGCATATTCACAGTCACATGGCTGCGGGTCAAAAAGAGGTGCCCAAAATGGAGCCCTGGTAAGAGGAAACATCTGGTCCCCTGGTGGTTTCATTTTGACCCATACCCACATGTTGCCCGCTGACTCAGCCTCTGCCACGACGTGGGCCAAACGCACCTGGGCTGTGAAATCCGCGATGGCCCTGAGCAAACGGCACATGTCCTTTCTCTGGTTTGAAGTTCTGTCTCGCTCATGAGGCCTTTCCCGAATTGGCTGGGCATGGAAGAACTTGGGCAACCTTTCCAAGGTTCCGGCTTTCATCTGACCCCGCCGTCGCTTCAACTCAAGCACCTAGCGGACCGTGGGCCGCTGCCCGCCCCATGCATCGCTGGCATGTCTGCGAGGATATCGTGACAGAATCTGCCGTGGCAAGATTCAGGGCTCACCCAAGAATCCCCCTTTTTCTAGCGGTCCAGCCTCCTTCTTCAAGGCATCTATTTCTGCCTGCTCCCGTGCCGCATCCTGCAAACCATCAAGCTCTGAAGATGCAGCAGACTTGGTGGTCAGATCTGTGTTTGCCGTTGTAGAGTATTGATGGACATTGCGTTGCGAGCCACTCGTGCCGGTTGGCGTCAAACGGCTTTCCCTAGCTGGCAAAGTCGAAATTGCATGGTAGCAGAGGGCATCATGCTGAAACGACGAACTGGTCTGAATCGAACGCATGCAACCAAGATGTGCATGATAAGCTCGCGCAAGACTTTCAATGCGCTCATCAGCTTGCATAGCCACCACGCAGGCTCCTCCAAAGAGTTGATGCCTCCGCGGTCAAACGTGTCCTGCAGTGCAAGACGACACTGCTTGGTGTTCTGAGAAAGAGTATTGCCACAGCCTTAAGGTTTATTCAGAATGACTGCTTTGACCGGCATATGGAAACTCACAACCGTCATAACCCGCACTGGTCAAACGCACCTGATACAGTCAAAACGTGCTTCCAAATTCTTCATGCATCTTTTCAGAGACGTCCTGCTCCAGCAGCCACCTGCCGCATTCCGTTGTCACTCGATGAGTGCAGCGCTGGATTCAAGGTTTTGCCTTGCCCCTAGTTTTCTCATGCTCTGCAGTCTGTGTAGTGGTGGAAGCATACCCCCTTGATCACAGGAAGAGCGGTCCTCATTGCAGGAATACATAGAAACTGCGTAGAAACAGTCTCCCCACAGCCCTTGAATACAAAGCTCCAAGAAATCTGGAGCTCGCTGAAGTCAGCCGAATGAACTGCAGACTCCTCGTGACCACGGCATGATGTGGCCATGGGTCATGGGTCAAAACCCCGTACCCCCAGTGAACATCCCAATCCCCACTAAAATAGACTAAAATGGGTGGTGCACCTATCCCAACATGGTACCATTGGCTTTGACTTGACCCACAGCCATGTAGCACGACCCAATGCGACATGCTCTCCCTCTTGCTTTCATGCTCCCCTGACCGGCCAGACCCGAGCCTGAGCATGAACTCTTGCGGATCTGCTGGGCAAACCGTTAGGAGACTCATCACCATCTCCTAGCGCAGCTTGGTTCATCTTGGTTGACGTTGAAAGGGGAGCACAAAAATAAATCTTAGCTAAGTGGGGATTTCAACCACTAAACCAGAATAAGCAAAATTGTTTTTTTTCTTTTCCCCCAACAACAACCATGTCATGAAAAGCTTTCTCAAGGGCCTCACAAACTCGTGGCTTGGAACCAATCGATAGGCGCAAACAGCGTGCCTGTCACTGCGCGCATCCTCTCTACTTCGGGGGGGGGGGGCGAACGTCACCTGTCTGGCTTGCAACCATTGTGCGCCGTGCACTCGCCGTGCCTGTTTTGCTTTGGCTGAATGGCAGTCCTGCAGCACGGGATTCACCTTCTCCTGAACAGAATCTCACTGGATTCCAAGATCAAACCCACCAATCCTAACCGGCCCATGCCGCTCGCCAAGCAGCCAATGTGAGCTGTCAACTCTTGAGGCATTTGCGCCAACTCCCAAAATGGGTCTGTCTTGTTGGGGTACCTCTTTTTTGGTGCCTTTAAAGGGAAAACCAAAGGAAAATCGCCCTTTTTTGGGGTCCCCTAAAGAACGACACACCCAAATGGTTTAAACTTCGAGGTGGGAATGTCGTGCTGAAAAAAAGATGCCCAGTCAGCACCCCAGATTTTGCCAAATGCGAACATCCGAGCGCGACAGCGTCAATGGGCTGAATGTACAGCGAACAACATCGAAGGCAAAGCCACACCAACTCACTTCTCAAATCAATCGAAGGGCCGACAGAACTTCACGAGCCAAAAAGCTGTCATGAAATCTGAACTCAATGTGGCCATGGGTCAAAAGCCCGGTTACCCCCCAGTGAACATCCCAATCCAACCACTAAAATAGACTAACATGGGTGGCGCACCTACCCCAAAATGGGACCGTTGGTTTTGACCCACAGCCATGTCTGCTTGGCCAATTTCAACTTTGCACAACTGCGCCGTCTCGTGCCAATCCCTCCAATTCCATTTGGCAACAATGCGATGCATCAGCTTGTCTAGGAACAAAACAAGCCATGAACAATCAATACTGCATGATAGCAGAGAGAAGAACAGAAACATTCAACTGAAAGTCGAAGTGAAACTATTGGAACCACATACAACGCCAGTGTCTCTGAGTGCAAGCATATGAACCATTCACCAAGACTACATCCCAACGGATCCCCCGTCCTCCAGGTAAAACCTAAGGGGTAAAAAAATCAGCGAGATGCCAAGATGTTGACGCAAGATTCATCAACCCCAGTACTTGTTCATAGGGGGGTGTTCTCCTCCAAGAGTGGTCTGATTCTCCACTAAACGCAGGGACACCCCCTAGTAATGAACTGGGGTTGATTCATTTGGGGTCAACACAAGCGAAGATAGAACACGTGGCTGCTGATGGCTGCTGACGATCACGAGTTCAAGGTGTGCCATGACATATGTTGTATCTTAGCTTATTCGCGGCACACAAGATTCCGCTTATAATTAGAATAGAAAGCGCAAACCAGCACGCTTCAAACGGCGCTGCATTGCCCATCACTTACGCCTGTTGAAGCCATGCGCCTTGTGCCCAACATGGCGTGACTGCGTTCGCAATGGCCACTTTCACAATACGACCCTCAAGTATTCGCCCCTGGGGTCCGAGAAAAAACCTCGAGCTGCGGCTGAGCATCGCAGCCACTTGCGCATGCTCTGCTTAAACCCAAGCAGAAACTGCAGACGGCCAACTTGGCATATGGCATCTCCCATTGCGCTCAGGGAGACATAGTCCAACTCAGAAAGATGTGCGGCACTCACTGTAATTTCCAGATCGCAACACTACAGCCTGCTGCGCCTTTAGAAACAGCTGACCGGCAAAGAACCCATTCGATTCACCCTTCGCGCACAATAGGCGTGGGACACACCACAGTGCATTCTTGAGAAGAAGAAGTCATATACTGTCAACTACGCCTAGCAAGCGTTTTTAATTCATCCAAGGCCCAAATTGCCTTCCAAGCTTGGTTTTCATCCGTAGCTTCGCTTGGCCGCTGACGCGTGGCGACGCCAACTTGGGGCGTGGCATCTTGGCCGCCGAGTTGTTGCCATCCGGCACTGCCGGCTGGCTGAGCCGCTGGAAGGTCTCTGATTTCAAGGGCTTCCGCGGCATGGCGCTCGGAGTTCGGCCGAGCTCCGGAAGCTTCAGCGCACGAATTGGGCAAACCGGGGAAACTGAATCAGGGATCCGGATGCATTATTGACTTGTACATGGAGGCGTCCCTTTATTTTGGCGGAAAAAGCCATGTTTCAAATGGGCAAAATGTATCTTTTAAGGAGCCCTGTCTATGCCTGCCTGATGTAGCCAGCTTTTGGGTCCAAGCTGGGTACAGGTAGAGGTTTCCTGACTTGGCGGGGGCCGAGGAGTGTGAGCTAATGTCTGAACTCGGCTCATCTAACGGAATCCTTGTTGTGTTGCTACCACTCACATCAGCTAGGGTCGTACAATCGTGTCAGACTGCCACGTAACGATACAGGCCAGCAGGCAACACTTTGACAGCTGGCCTTTCCGTTGACAGGATATATCACTCTTGCACATTTGAAGACACAACTTTTGGCTCTTGAGCCCTCTGCCAT